CAATATTTTTTAATGTTTATTATGTGTAACTTATTTAACCTTTGGTGATATAATTAGTGAATCTTAAATTAATGTAAAATTCAGGCTTCGATTAACATTGCGCTTAAGGCAAACCTCACATTTCGTGGCAACGTCCTTCTTCTTCAAGAAGCAAGAACTATTCTACGCTCTAGACCGAAAACAGTCACGTTATAAGGTATTTCTCCCGCCTTCTTGGTGTGGTGGTCATTACGCTGAGCGCGTATTCCAGAGGCCCGTGGTTGTATTCCCGGCGAAGGTGGTTGTTAATTTTTCATCTCTCTTGCTTCCAAAAAATCCTAATATCTCTACAATGTACGTAGCAGAAAAAAAGATAAGCCGAAAAATGGAATAAGGTATGTAACAGCTTCAATGTCCTCTATCGAGTAAAACAGAAATGAAAGGATTCAAAATCATGAAATAGAACTTGAAACATTTTGGTGGAAATGGATGGGAATCGTAATCGTTCACTAAACCTGACACATTTTGAGAATTGTAGAACGCTTTAAGGAACCAAAATTCCTAAAATAGAAAAGTTTTGGAAGTTTAGGAAAAGAAAAATTTGAAGATTGAGTAAAGGAATAAATGGGTTCTGAAGACTGGAAAATTTTTTCATTATTCGCTTTCTGATAAAAGATTTGAACTCTTGAATAAAAGCATTTAACGCTCCTTTAGATTGGTAGATGTATAGTAATACATGTTGACACAAAAAAAAAAAAAAAAAAAAAAAAAAAAAAAAAAAAAAAAAAAAATTATACAATTCAAAACGTTTTTAACAATATACCTTGAACATCAGTTAACCTAGACAGCGTTAAAATAACTGCCAAATTCAAATTTCCGCTGCCTAAGTGAAGTATCGATCAGACAAAGGGAAGCTTAAAATGTTTTAATAAAATGCATGACAGAGAAAGTGAAAAATTGATAAATCTTTCAAAACTAATCATCGTTGGGAACATAGCCATTTTTTATTCTTTGGCAATGTAATCATTCTTTTAACTTTATTTCTGCTAAACATTTAAAAAAAAAGAGTTTTCCAGTTGGCGAATTAGATTTTTTGGAGGTTTCTATATTCACCAATATGTAACAAATTTAATTTATTTTCCAATTCCAATGAAATTTTTCAAAAAGTTTTTTAGAGCTTTATTTTGTAATTTTAATCACTTCATTTCTATTTTGCTGAACAGAAAGAGTTACGTTTCTTGCATTCTTTTCTCAGTTATTTATTATTTCTTTATTAGCTTTTTATTATCTCAGTTATTTATTATTTGAATAACATATTTCGGCATACAGCCGCAGAATATGTTTTATTCTTCCTTTGGGGGGTGTGGAGGGAACGCCCCACGCTTTTCTCCCTGGAATTGTGTGGAGGTTTTAAAAGTAGCTTCAAGCTCTAATATCGAATTTCATCTTGCGTTGTCTCTCTACGTAATTGATAAAGTATTCCTCCCGCCTTCTTGGCATGCCTTCGTAGTGTGGTGGTCTGCACTCTAGGCGCGTATTCTAGAGGTCCGCTGCTCGATTATAGGCGAAGGCGTTGCTCATATTTCATACCAATGTCTCTAAAAACTAATGTGAAGTTTCTCATATTATAGAGTTGAATTATATATTTTTTAAAGTTACTGCACTGGTGCTCTTGTATGGTTGAGTTCTTCATTATCAAATTATTAAAGTTAATTAACATTGTCAGAGTTTTAGTTGAAACCTTTCAAGCTGTTTATCTTGTTAATTAGTTAAATATTGTGTCATGTAATATAAAAATTTAATAAACTATTATTCTTCATTAGCTCACACTTGGCTTAACTTGATAAACTGCATGTTGTTTGTTAACATATAATCGCTTCAAAGTATTAATTATAAATTACTTATTTTTGCTTCTTAACACCATTTAATATTATTACGTTCTCTAAGTTCCTGGGTCTCACATAACAATAATATGTAGCGATAAAATTAAGGAGACAAATTTTAACTAATGTTTAATGTTGTTAGAAGATTTCTTCATTACAGCCTGCTTTAAACTTTAACTATGCGATTAGATTGAACTAAAACTCGTGTTTAATAACTGTAAAATGAGTTCATCGCAATCTAAAGTCATAATGGAGTAGTTATGAGAGCTACTTATTCTTAGTATATCATATTCATGTCTGTATGAAGCAAAGTAAATGCACGTAGTCTAAATTCGCAAATTTGTTACATTGCGTGATTACCAAAATATGGAGGCTAAGACAAAACGTCTAAAGTGAATTTCGCTTCTGAAAATGAACACTGTATTATTCGGCTAAGCATTGTAACTATTTACGTGTATTTACAAAGATGTAAAAGTGATTTACTATGGGAAATTTTGTTAAAATATATTTGGTTTGGATGGGCTTGTTTCCATAGAAGACTTTAAGGTTTGGTTTATTTAATTACGGCAAAGTACACGAGGGTTATCTGTCTAAGGAAAGGAAACTTTGAAAGAACTTCGTTGAGAACTTTCAAACGGAAACTGGCTCGTATACACATTACACATGGGAACAACTACGAAAATGCCCCAGCAGCCAGCCCGTTTGTTGGGATTCCAACCGCTAGAAGACTTTAACAGGTTGCTAACTTTGTCAGTTCCCAATTTGTAGCAGATGGCGCAAAATGTATACTGGTTTTATCGAGGAAGGAAATAGGAAAAACTATGTGTAACCTCACCGAAATCCGAGGCATGGACCTTCTAAATGCCAGAAGGACATATTACCAATTATACAACAGCAGTGCATAAGAAGAAATGAGATATTTTCTTACAACTTTGCGTCAGTTAAAAGGAGACTCGGGAGAGGCCCGAGACCTACTCGTAGTTATCCAAATTCAGATGAAGAATCCATATGTGCAGTAAATACGAGCAAAAATGAAGAAATACTATTTTTTCAAAGGCATACCTTATTTCGAAGATTTTTTACTGTTTGCTTTCTTTCTTTTCTTCTTCTATTTTAAACAAATCGAACACGATTCACAATTTAACATGGATCTAGTCCATTACATTAGTTTAGCATTACGAACGAACTTACAAATTATTCTTTTCTGAGCAATCATTTGGTATCTAGAAGAGCATTAACAAAGTGTTTTACAGGGCTGCTAGACAAAACCACCTTCAATTTGGCTTTGAAGAAGGATTTTCGGTGGATCACGCGTCACCTTAAAATAATCAGAGACAGAAATTTTGCAAGGAGCAGCTAGACAGTGGTGGTCGCACTTGGTATGAGTTTTAACGTCCATTGGTGACCAGATATACTCGTCTTATTGGACCGTCTGCGAATTAATGATATCATCATTCGAATAACTAGCAGCTATCTGTCACACATAGCATTAAGAGTCACCACGGACGGAGATATCTTCACAAGAGATGCAGACAAAGACTTCCCACAAAGATCATGCCTTGGCCTGACCTTTTGGAATGTCGTAGTGGATGGAGCATTTAATCTACTAAACAGTCTTAACCGGAATATTAATGTACAGGCATATGGAAACGACATCTTGATAACAGTAAGAGCGAGTGCCAGAAGAAGATTAGAGACCAGGACAAATCAAGCGTTAGATTGTCTCGCGAACTGGCGCTCGCACAAAACACAAACACACACACACACACAAAAAAAAAAAAAATTAACATAATAATAGTAGTAACTGCCATAGTACAAAAACCTAATCAGGCCTCCAGTTTCCAAAATTAAAGAACACTCAGTCACGATAAACAAAACTTGAATATATCTTGGCATTATTTTAGATGATAAATTCAGTTGGATTACCCATATAAAATACCTGAAAAATAAAACATCTCAGTGGTGCAACAGTCTGCTCCAAGTAAAAGGAGAAACATGGGGCGTTTCCTCAGCACTTCTAAGAATGTGGCATCACATGCTGGCAGTGCCAACAATCTGCCATGAAACATCAGCTTGGTGTACCACGTTAAATGCACATAAAGTCAGAAAACTTCTGAGCCTACAAAGGCGGTAGCCCTCTTAATCACCAGATTACACAGGTCTGCACAGAAAAATATAAAAAAGTGGAACCTCGAGATATGAGTTTAACTCATTCCAACATTGAGCTTGTATAGCGAATTTCTCGTATCTAGAAACAAACTTCCCCACTGAAAATAATGGAAATCCACTTAATCCGTTACGCACCCCAAAAATACCAACATAAAAATGAGTTTTTCTAATAAATAACACTGGTAAATAATATAACCGTAGTTTACTTTGTGATAGCTTCCGACACCGACCTTTTAACTGCTTCTTTTTAATCCACACCAACAGCGGCTTCTCAACATCTTCTAGGAGACGGTGCTTGGATGTAACGGTAACTCTTATGGCTACATCAAGTTTCTTAATTTCTTCCTACTTCTTCAGACTAGTGCAAATCGTCGATATCGAAATGCCGTATGTCTTCGCCAATTCTGTCACCACACTTGCTTATCTATGATTTCTTTCTTAATTTCAACGGCCATGGCTTCCCTTTTTTTCTTTGCAGCCCTATCTGAGGCAACAATCTTCTTGGGAGGTATCGTGAAATAATTAGTTCCACGTTAAAAGTAATAAACAATTGACTCGCAAGCTCACAAACACGTATATCAAAGAATACCGAATGATCTGACAAGCGTATTCCCCGAGTTGAGCCGAATCAGGAAATGGCGCCACGCATACGAACAGCCTGGCTCATTGCTCGTTACTCGAGTCTATTCTCGTATTTAAAGACAAATGTTTCGCTCATTCTTTCCTTGTATCTCGAATTTCTGGTATATAGAGGTTCTCGTATCTCGAGGTTCCGTTGTACTAAGTCTTGTAGGTCTACAGCAAGAATGGGGCATTGAGATTTTTCATGTCATTTATAAATGTCTCCAGCAGTTTATTCATTCAGTAATTCCATTTACGCGTCATACATTTATTATAGCTTAAAAATAGCCTTCACAACTCTTTTAATTTAATTCCTTGTTGGAAAAGATAAAAGGAAAGAGCTCTTACATTACAGGTGACACGATGTATTTGAATCTGCGGTCCTTCCTCGAGAGTAAAATTGTTTTCATCTCGTCCAGGAGGAGACCAGTTGTGGGAGGAAATGCTGTCCGTGTCGAACTTGACGGGGACGCGCAGGGCGTGGAAATTGCTGGAAGTTGCGCCCTGCTCCTCAGCGCCCCCCTCAGACGATTCTAGAGGCTGCGTGGAAGGTCGCACCGTGTAACCCAACCTGCAAAGAGGAAAACATACCACATTAGTGACTAATGTAGATATTCAGAAATGAGAATAAAAATATTTTCGTATGGTTTAACTCAGTTTGGCTAGGTCTAAACACTAATTAACCTTCTTAGGCATTCGAAAGAATTACGTCCTTCAAATCTAGAAAAGCAATAACAGCGTGAAATATTAAACTATGATATTCATTTAAATTTCAGCTCGAGGTTGCAAAAATTCTAAATATTAATAAAATTAATTTCCACTTTTGCAAGTTGGTCAGACAACAACAGTTCAAATTATTTACAAATCAGGGTTCAAACTGAAGTCTAAAAACTAGGCTCTGCTATTCCATGACTGTTAATATAACTTAATTCATATCGCAGCATTAAAAAATAGCCAACAACAGAGGAGTTTCGGTACGGCAGGCTGAAGTTGCTAAATCTCTGTCTTGAACTTTGATTCCCGCTCGTTGTTTAAATTCCTTAAATTTGTATTTTCTGATGGAGTAGATGAAAGCAGTAGAAGTGCACGAAAGATTAAATATACATAACAATGTGTTAATTAAAATAAACCTTACATATTTACAGAGAAAATTTCTAATAATCTGAGTAATAGAATTAAAATTAAACTCATTTTATAAGACCATTAGCGTTATATTGAAAACGAAAGATTTTTCAAAGAACATTACATAGTATAAATCAATAACATATACACACCCATTTAATGCTAAACAAAAAGAAGTTATGAATTTTCTTCTGCAAATCATATGATTCAAAAGTCAGAAACAAAACAGATTAGGTTAGGTGGGGTTAACATGAAAAGCACAGGAAAGAGAACGTGTAAGGTTTATCCTAAGTTTCTAATTGTTAATTTTAAAGCTACTTTCCTGTCCTTCCTAACTTCAGCTTACAATTTCCTACCAAAATGTGTTTTTAGAATCGCGTTTAGTGCAAATAAGAGTGGTATTTAAGGGGAAGTTCCACTGACTTCGAGAGAGAGCCTCAGAGTTTCTGACTAGCGCGCGTTCGCCTTTTGGTTACATCTCTCTCTAAGCTATTGCTAAGCACGGCCGTATTTCAGGCCCTTGATAGCTTTGCTAGCTTATTCGATATTTAGGGGCCAACTACTTAAAAATTTGATAGCTTCGGATATATCTTTTTAGGTAAGCATTCATTTAGTTATTATTATTTTAAGTTGAAGCCCAAGGAGAGGCTTTGCTGTACGCCCTGAGAAAGGAGCCGACTGTTCAACTCTTATTTTCAGAAATAAAGGGTAATTAAGCCTTCTTGAGTTTACGTCCCTTTTCCTGAACTGTTGAACTAAAGCGATTATTCGTTGAACTGTTCACGAGGCTCCTACACATTTAGCTGTTAGATATAAGGGTGGAACCCCACAAACGATTGCCTTCGTGTAGGAATTTGAAAGCAAGAAGTGGCAACAATGCTCGAAATAAAACATATTTCTTTTTTTTTTTCTATCGTTTTCTTCTCTTTAATCCCATTTTATCTTTTTCTACCATAAAGTAGTAGTTTTTACCACAAAGTAGTAGTTTTTAATAATGTTTTTTGTCTTCCTGCACTAGTTCATTTTTCTTACATTTTCAGCGTATTATCAACTTAAATTATTATCTAAAAATTCGTAAGTTAGCTGATTAAAGTAAGGTTTTAATAAGCGAAAGAAATTTCATTTTGTAAAATTGAAGAAAATTGTTATGCAAATATGTTATTGCGATTTCTTTTGAATTCTATTGTATGAAAGTAATTGCACGTATAAATAGCATGTTATTTATTATACATGCAAATTTTAAGAGCATTTACTTCCTCGTTAAATAACATTTAAAAGGCACCATTTGACTAATGTTAGATGAAAATAAATCGAATAAAGTAAAATGAAACTCTTTTCTGAGTTATGCGAAATCAAAAATGGTGTAAAAGGGAAATTAATTTAATTTAAGGTACCCTCCGGAGTAAAAATATTTCAAAAACTCGCATGGAACCATTCCTTTGCTTTGCCTTCCCCCAAAATAAACATATGACTACGAGTAAGCTAATTATTACACAAATGATCAAATTATTTGCAAACAGCAGATTGAACTCAATCATAATAAACTTAATAATAAAGCTTAATTACAAAACTTGATGTTTAAGAATGCAAACAACGCTGTTTTAATTAATAAAACTAGAAGCACTCAATTAAACTGTTAAATGTGATGTACAAATTCGTCCATATGTTTTCATTTCAAATTTGTTTGTTGTGACATTATATGGAATTTTTGTTGTCAGATTTAATTAGAATGATTAATTAACACGAGAGACATGAGTCGAGGACGATGACTAAAAGAAAAAGAAGGAAAGAGAAAACACTCAAATCAAATATAAACTGAATACCAGCAAAAGTTAAAAAATGTTGTGCATTTGTCTTGCCGTCAAATGGATCCAGGATCATGGGACAACATCCTCAAAGTACCTTATTTGTTCTGATTCTCTTTCTTCTCTTCAATTTTTGAACAGTATTACCAGCTGCGATAAATTAGTTATCGAAACCCTAGTAACTGTTAGTTCACTTAGAATTAGAGGTATTGATATCTGCTTTGCTTATGTGCGTGCTCATCATGGTTTCTACGGAAATGAAAGAGCTGATTTCTTAGCTAAAGATGCCTTAAATTTACCCATTGATATCAACATTAGCATTTCAAAGAGTTATTGGAAGTCCTTTCATTATAAAAAGCTTTTAGCTATGTGGAATGAGGAATACATTTCATCTCGTAATGCTGAAGTCACCAATAAGTTCCTTCCTTCTATTTACCATAGACTGAATTCCGAGTCTTTCCTCTCGTTAAATTTTAAAGTGTCTCAGTTTTTATCTGGTCACGGTAAATTTGCAAGTTATCTGTTTCGTTTTAATCTACGATCAAACAATTTATGTGAATGTTCAAAAAGAGTTCCTCAGGATGTGGAACATTTGATTTTCTCGTGCCCTACATTTTATGGCCCTAGATTATGCTTCCAGAACGATTTGAAAATGTTCGGAGTGACTTGGCCAGTGAACTTATCTGTTTTCGTGAAGTCCAGACTGCTGTTCTCTGCTTTTGTTCGCTTTATTTATGCATGTAATTTTTAATGTTTATTTATACATGTAACCTTTAATGTTCTAGTTAACTTACTTCTGTAAGCCGCGTGTTGTACATATGTGGTGCACGGGGAGTCTGTATGTTCTCAAAGGAAAAAAATATATATAAGAGTTGCTGGCTCGTTATATTGCGAAAGATTAGAAATAGAATTAAACTTGGAATTATACTGAATATGAAGGCCTCCTGTCCCCCTCCAAAGGAGAAGATTAAGTATTCAGAAAACAGAAAAAATATTTTGCATATACGTTGTACACTTTCGTCAGTGACGAGATGGTTCTGCAAATGAAACCATCATTTCTGTTAGTGCAATTTAATTAAAGTTTCTACAGATAGATAAGCATCAACTTTCTACAAATTGTCATCTAAAAATTGACTTAATTTCATTTAAAAAAAGGCATATCGAAACCATTTCCTGTTGCTTATAAGTCTATTTATCATAAAATCATGATATGTACTTTTTTTCCAAGATTTTTAACACAGTTTATTTTTGAATTCTTAGCGTTTTCCATTTTAAGCCCAAAGGGGTGTTAACCCAGAATGGTTATTAGTCTCAAAGCAGCATTTTGCGTAGAATCACTTTAAATGTCCGAGTTAATTTTCAAACTGTTGCCGCCAAATATTATGGCTCTGTATTATATTTAAGAAAACTAAATAATCGAGAACCTACATAAATGCAAGTATGTTTCTCGCATTGTGAAAAAAAATCAACGGTACCTAGAGACATCAAATTTTGAATAACGTAGTCCTCCATTCGAATACGGACATCTAGAAGACCAAATTAGGAATTTGGAATTTTGTTTTATTATCCATTTCATATTTTTTAAAACTTGAACGAATTTTTGATTAAAATACTCAACCATTTCAAAGCGAGCAGTGTCAACAATGTAAGGAATAAAGCAGTTTTATCTCCAACACGCGAGACTATCTATCAGAATTCTAAAGATATGCTGTTTTTAAATATTTTTAGTACAATGTGGCTTTAGCCCAAATGCTCTCGTAACCTGTATGTGTAACGGGTATCTGATCTGTAAACGTGTATCTCGAAACGTAAGAAAAAAAAAATTGTCCGTTTAGTCGTATTTTAAAATCTGAAAGCTTTCAGATTCTTTTTATTATGTATTTTTTATATATTTATTTATATTCACTTAGCATTTTAGTTTTTGGTAACAAAAATTTTTCAGAATCATTTTACTAGCCATTAAACTTTCTGCTTTAAGCACAAAGAACAAACAACCTTCCTACTAAAACACCCTTAACCTTTTCCCTTAATCTAAGGGGCTAATTTCGAACGTATTATGGCCATTTAATCACTTATTTCAAAAGAAAATAACAGAAAAATAAATCTACAGGGTATTGCACTTCCATATTAAGGAGTAAGTTTTAAATCACTATAGTTTATGAAAGTTTCTTGAAACACATTTAAAGTAGTGAAAGTGCGGGAAATATATGTCCCAGTCCCCTGGAAAAGGTTAAATGACACAAGAATGAAGCATTAGCAAATCTATCTAGTCAGAAGATTTCATTTTATATTTTATCCTTCCAAGCAACTCTCTTTCCGTATACAATCCGGAACATCTATACGTAGGATACCTACCGCGTGGAATATCCGACGTTTTCCTCTGTTCTCGTCGAATTCCAATATGTAACTTTCAGATGCAACCGTAAAAACGAAGTTTTACTCCAAATGGCCGGATACTTGAAACTTAGTGTACTAGTCGGAAATGGTCAAAACCCACCATTTAATCATCCCATCACTGATAACGTTGCTCAGGGTGCACCTCAGGAGGTGAAGGAATTGTACTTCCAAGAATGCTGTGGCTTCGCCCCACCTTTGAAGGTTAATAACCCGAGACATAGATCCGAGGGTCTGCTATTCCCGCTCT